GGTGGCCCTCTGTACTGTTTGAGATGGCGAGTTGGGGGACCATTTGGTCTACCACGGACCGCCTGGTGCTGGGAAGAATGTACAGCGTCGATGGCGTGAAGAAGGCTGGGAGGAGGAGACACCAGGCCAGCAGAGCGAGGGCGGACCCGAGCTTGAATCTGCGCAGCATTTCTGTATTGGCGAGAGACAAAATCGACTCGTTGGCTCCGAAGGCCGCGTTGAGAGCCCGAGGGCTCATCGGTTTGCGTTGGAGGTTACGCCAGAGACACTGGGTATAACAGAGCCAGACGGCCGTGACGAAGGAGAATTGCGTGAGAACAGCCAACGCCGTCCCGATACTAGAATGGTGTAAGCAGCAGGCTGCATAGGGGTACTGAAGAATGTGAATACCGGATGTTGCTCTGTTGACGATAGCCATCCCCAGCAACAGTCCCGCTCAGATGGATGTAGTACACGATGTGGCTCAACGTTGTGCTCAGACCAACAAGATAGAAGAAACAGAGCAGCACTGCTGGTCGTTGCCAGCATCTCATCGCTGCGGGCGCCGAAACTGGCACGTCTGTTGTTGCGACTCTTGTGTCAGAGGACGCCCAGGTCGACGCCCGATGTAGAGTATGCCTATCGCTTTGTGCCTGGCACCAACCTGAGGTTGGAGGATCTGTCTGAGGCCCAGAAGACATGTTGGGGAGTGTGATAGTTCGCATGTGACAAATTGCGTCAGGCACCGAGACCAGTTCGCCCGTCTCAGGGCCGAGATCTTTCTTCGGAGACAGTGAACCGAGGTCTGGGAAGTCAGTTGGGGTATTGGCGGGAACGGGGGGTGGGATGGGCGGATTCTCCTGAGGTAGGCCTCGCTGGAACATGTCGGAGGCTTCCCTGGGCATGTTGGAGTTCTTCATTTTGCTAACCCATCTCTTATTCTGCATTGTGAGCGGACTTGGTGGCCCTTTCTGCTTCGACAGGTACTCTTATACTGATACGTCTGTAGGCAAACCTCGTCATTCTACTATTCATCGAGACGCGCCGACAATAGACTTCAAGCCTCATCGGCCCTAGCAAAGAGCCGCAGACGCCCCGCGCCGGCCTCGGCCCCTTTCTGACCTCAGATCGTTTCACCCTCTTGGCCATTGAGACGGCGACTGTCAATGTCAAGAGACTCCCGGACCCCGTAACGTTACGCGTCCTCGAATGTAAGGGGCGGGTACTGGTAGCCTCGTGGAAGTTGTTGGCACTCATGGCACCATGTGATCAGCGTCTCGTCGCGACCTTAGTGCCGATAAGCATAAAACATGACAGCTCGCTAGCAGCATGGTCCGCGTTAAACTTTTCGACGCAGTTGCTCTCACCAAAAAGACTTTGACGGTTGGGACGAGTGACTCGGAAAGATCAGGCCATCACAGATATCTTTCGAATAATCTGCTCACAATCTTGCTCGTGAGCGGCGAGCATCGGATACGGGATGCGTAAAACGTCTTCCGACCTATACATATAGAATTCTGCTTAGTGCACAAACGCCAGACACGCCAGGCGCCGGTTGGCAAAGTGCTCAACGCGGGCCGGAAACCTACGCCATCAGACCATCCTGACCCCTATCTCTCCCAATCCCGGGGAACTCGTAAACCCATATGGACGATGCCAAGCGCCGAGTCCCGGCTTCCAAGTGTTGACCTCTAAGCACGCTTCTCCCCTCTAGGGATCTTGGGACTTCTCCTCTGGCGCCGAGACGGCGGGTTCCGCATTCGCAGTATCCTCGCTCGCGGGTTCCGGCTGTACCTCTTTCTCTTCTGTCGGTGCAGAGGCAGCTTCGACAACGGCGGGCTCCGGCGCTTTCTGGGCCTCGGCTTGGCGATCCAATGCCGTCTCCAGTCCGGCTAACAGATCTGGGCCGTCGTCCTCGGGTGAGGGCTGCTTAGGTGCCGCAGGCGCATGTGGTGTCGGGCTTCTCACAGCTGCTGCGGGAGGAGTCAATTCGACCACGACTGGTTGGGCAATTAATTCGGCTACCGGAGTTGGCTCCGCAACGGGTTCGAGAGACTCTGTCGCGGGAACTTCTTCCAGCTTGGGCGCCTCGGCACTTGCGCCCTCGTCCTTCGTCTCAGCCACTTCTTCGACTGGCGTGACTTGCTCTACGGGCTTGACGTCGGTTACTTCGTCCACCACGGGTTCTGTAACACTCTCGGTAATGGTCACCTCGGTGGTTACGACTTCCGTTGGCTTGGCTACTGAGGCTGGCTCTGCAACCTCTGTGACCGGCCGTGTCACAGCCTCGTCTGCGTCCTCCGCGTCTTGCATGGGTACATCAGGACTCAGTTCCGGAGATACAATATCTCCCACACGTTCTGGCGGTGGGATGAAAGTGGATGCCTGTGTCATCTCCACCTCAGCCTGGCCCTCGACCGGCGCCTGAGATGCAACCAAAGCATCTTCAGAAGGGGACTTGGTCGATCCGGAGGTTGCTTCCTTCTCGTTGTCTGCACCAGCTTCGGGCGATGTTTCATTTACAGGCTGTGATGCGGGCTCGGGCACAGACTCTGGCACGGGCTCTGGTGCGGGCTCTGGCGCGGGTTCTGGCGCAATTTCTGGCGCGGGTGCTGTTGGCTTTTCTGGAGAAGGCTCGACAGCGGGCTCTGACGTGGAAACCGGCGTAGCCTCCTTAGCAGGCTCACATGTTGTTTCTGCCTTGGTTTCCGGCGCGCTCGCTTGTGTGTCTTGGGTGGCAACATCTTCCGACACTTTTTCAGCTGCTTCCTTGGCGTCTTCGGGAACCTTGGGCCTCTCTGGCTCAGAGGCTGTCATTTCTACCGGCTCAGGCTTCTCCGCCGGTGGCGACGTCGCCTGAGGTGAGGCCACTGTTGGAGATGGCATGACAACGTTCTTCAGCGGGCTTCCTTCGAGCTTGGGAGACGTCGACAGCGACAGGTTGAGGGGCGGCGCCAAGAGCTGGCTGGGCGGCGGCAGTTGGCGGCTCGTAGATGGCGACTCAGCATCGCCCATGTCCATGGTAGTATCGGCTGACGCGGGAGGCGCCGAGGGGGATGCGTCGGTCATTTCCTGGTCCTGGTCCTCGCCGTCCTCGCCGTCCTCGCCATCCTCTCCATCATCATCCCCTTCGTCGTCGTCATTATCGTTATCAGCCATCTCGCTGTCTGCATTGTTGGAACCTTCGCGCTGGTCCTGTTGAGGTGTCTGCATTTTCTGTTAGCTTTCGTGACATGGAAAGGGTTCTCCAGGATACATACCGTTGCGCCCTCGACACCCGGGACTGCCGGCGTGGGAACAGTCGCGCCCACGGCTCCCTCTTGGCCGGGTACTGGTGCCGGCAGCGGCAGCATCTTCTTCTTGCGCCCGCGGCCAGGGCCTCCGAGTTTCTTATTCTTCTTTGGCGGTGGCGGTCGACGGTTGCGCGGAGGCGTGGCCTGGGCCTGCGGTGCGGCAACGGCAGCGGGCACAACCGTAGTGGAGATGATTTCGCCCTCGACCTGCTGGCCATCCTGGAGGGTGATTTCCTGGGTGTACGCGTTGCCGGCGGCGTCGACCTTGCGAACCGTGGCCTTGGTGACGGTCGCGCCCACGGCAGGCGCGGTGACTGTCTTGGATGCAATGGTAACGGTGCCTTTCCTCCGCTTGGCGAGATGGGAGACGGTGGCGCCCTCGGCGTTGCGGTGGACCTGCCTCCAGATCTTGATGTGGAAGCCCTTGACGGCCTCCTCCTCCTCCTCCTTCTTCTCGGGCTTCTCGACAGGGGCCTCGGGATCGACCTCCTCTTCTTCGACGGGCGCCGGCCGCTTGTAGAGGCGACCGGAGCGCGCAGCGCGCAGCAGGTCTTGGCTGTGCTGCGGCAGGAGGCCGGCGTCCCGGGGCATGCCCCAGAGAAGCTCGCGCGACCAAATGTCATTCTTGCGTGTCGTCTCCGGGGGCGGGGGCGGGGCGACGTTGACGGTTTCCTGGCGCCATTGCCGAACGGGTAGGCCTTCAAAGTCGTCGTGTTCGACGTAGCCGCCGCGATTCGCGCGTCGAGTCTGAAGGAAGCAACAAGGTTTAGCCTGCTGCCAGTGCACACCAAGATGGGAGGATGGGGATGAGAGGGACATACACCTGGCGCCATTTTTTCCTGTTCTTCGAAAAGTAGGCCGCTGCTGACTGGTGCAAATGCCGATGCTTGGATTGACCGTCAGGGAGCGAGATGTCGTCAAATGCGCACTGCAGCAAGTGGAAACAATGCGAGGCTGAGAAGCGGCGCTACGCGTGCGATGCGTGACTACAGATGCCGTCTATTCTGTACGAGTGCTGAAATGACAGGGCCCAATGCGCCCGAAGCGAAAGCCCAGAGTTGACGATTTGCTCGCTGGTGGTGCCAATTGATGCGCCGCGAGCTGATCAGATACGCGATCCTTGGATGCAAACAGGCGAGGCACGAGCGTTGACAAGAGTCGCGATCTGAAAAGGCACTCGGACCACCTCGAGTCTCCCACTCGCCAGATGACTCAGCAACCACCATCCCCAGAGGTCCGACTTCTGATGATCGGCCAGTGGAGAGAGATGCTGCGGAAGGAAACTTGGTGATGTAGAGGATGAATGCATCGAATGAACCCAGTCTGTTCTTGTTTATCAACGGATGGGTTTCCAAAGTTGTCTGACCGTAGATGTAGCACTTCCGTCGACAAAGCCCGTGTCTTCGCAATCACATCGTACCGTAGGTAACGCTAAAGGGTGGCGTGGACGGCAGAAAGTGTCGCCCAGGCAAACTCCATTGTGAGAATCTATGTGCTCAGAGGGGCGTCTGTCCTCTATCCGGCTTCCAAAGCATAGCCAAGTCAGCTCTCCCGCAGCGCATGCAGCGTCCCCTGCTGCCTCCCCTCCCAGCCCAGTCATTTGTGTTTTGGTGTACAGTTTCGTTCCATCCCCGATCATATTGTACAAAGTCCAGCGGTCCTCCCTGCCTGATGATCTCTTGTCGTGCAAGACACAGGGTCGATTGCCAGCTTCCCCGTGGGGATGACTTAATCGTAACTGTATCACATCAGTAACTGCTCGAGAATGCGAGAAGAAAACGACGTACCCCTGCTCCTTTTGCCTCACAATCTCGCTGTGGTCGCCCTTCTCCTTGCCCTTCCAAAAAGTTAGCATGGAGCAGATTCTGGATGATCGGAAACGCATCACCGGAAAACTTACAGCAACGCCGCCCTCGACAACTAATCGGTCCATCTGGAAGAACTGGCTGACCAGCGTTTGACGCTACAGCCCTTGGTCAGTTCCACGACCCTCTGCGTACGGCATGGCCCGCCTCCAAGAAAGACAAGGGGTCAAGGCACGAACCTTCATCACCTGCAGCTCCTTGAGGCCCTTCTGGATCAGCTCCTGCACCTCCCGCGAATCCTGGACGTGCTGGTGCTCCCTGAACGCATCCCTCGTTCGCCTTTTCGCGTAGTCCCGGAAGTTGTAGGCCGCAAACTGCTCGCCCTGTCGCAGGAGCTGGCGGTACTGCAATGTTGGGACCTCTCGTCAGTACAACAAAAGTCCTTCTCTGTCCCTGCGCTGAGGCAGGCGCCGCGGGCGGGCGCAGGGTGGTTTGGGCGGGACGTACCAGGGAGCGAGCCTGCTGCGGCGCGTCGCCCTTGAGCACCTGGATCGCTGTCGCCATGGTGCGTGATGCTGTGCTGCACTGGTGGATTGAAGGATCGGAGGTAGATGTTTTGTGGCGGACGGACGATCGAAGGGGGGGGAGAGGCGTGGTCGGTGGTCAACGGTGGAGGTGCTGGGGATTATTTCGCTGGAGGATTCCCGGGGTATGATGCAACACTTTTCAGCGTCTTCGGCATTATGCGGTTTGGGGGGGGGGGTTCGGACTTTGGATGACTCAGCATATCGACATGTCTCTGGCGATGACACCTCACTTTCTTGCCATGACGGGCAGTAGAACAGTGTCACACTCTACGTGCTCTTCATTCGTTGAACTCTTTATTCTTTCCTATTATCTTCTTAAAAATCGACCGCCCAAATCCGTACCCTGATATGCTGCGCTTTTGTGTAGCGGAAACCAAAAAACAGGAGCCTTCAGCAGGTCGTCCAAGCCTTCCTAAGCTGCCGTCCCTTGCGCGGACAAGATTCGTCAAGTCCTATCTCTGATCTCGTGAGGCTTCTTGACTCTACGTCTACAGGATATGCTCCGAGAGGTGACCTTATGGCCCGGCTACCGGCCAAGCCCAGCAGTCGTGTGCGCTGTCGGTGCTCACGATGCTGCAGGTCTAGCAGACCTTCCTGCGAGGCTGGATGATCCGTCCGTCAAGCCATTCTTCCTTCTCCATCATATACGCCCAGGGAAAAAATGGAGTGAGGCCTCATTTTGAAGATTTGGCATCAGCCAGCTTCTGCAGTGTGGCCTTATGCAGCGCCTTCTGACCTTCGATAATCTCTTTCAGCTCATCAATCTGCGTCTGCGCCTCAGCACTGTTGCCAGACTGCGTTGCCGGTAGTTCTGTAAAGGACAGAATAGCCTTCTCCAGAACGTCATCCGGGAACCCTGCGCTGTTGAGCATATTCTGGAATCTGCTGGGCGGTGCCAGATCAGCCTCGAGCTGGGCCGTAAAGGTATACTGCCTCTCGGCAAGGCTGGGTTTGATGACTGTGACGGGCCTTGTCGTCTGGGTCGCCTGCGTAAGAGGTGGGAACACGAGGTTCGTAACGGAGGCGTTGAGGTCCGTCAGTTCTGTCGGGTGGCCATTGTCGGTGAGCTGCCACTGAAGAATCTTGCCCTTGGTATGGCCGGTAAGGACGGCCGTGCCGTCGTGACTGATAGCCAGGCACGAAGCTGGGCCGCACTCGGCGTCGGCGACACCAAGCGGAGAAGTGACTTGGACGGCGGTCGAGGAGACTTCGGCGCTGTGCTGGCCGACCAGAGGCTTGGCACCAAAAAGCTCGACGAGGTAGAGTGAGCCGTCCTCACACGAGACGAGGACGGCGCGCGAGCAGGGATCGAGGGCGACGCAGAGAGGGACGCTGGGGAACAGCAAGGTCCGTAAGGGCTCACCGGTCTGGTAATTCCAGATGATGCAGGTCTTGTCCTTACTGGCTGAGACGCAGAGGCTGGTTTCGGGATTCACGCTCTGGCTGACGACGAGCGAGGTGATGGCGCCCCTGTGATTTGACAAGGTCAAGTCGGGTTCCAGCTCTGTGGTGGCGTTGAGCTCGAGGAGGCGGGACAAGGTCCACACGTGGATATTGGAGTCCTCAGACGCTGTGACAACGTGGTGAGAAGTGGCGGCCACGCAGGTGACGGGCTGGACGTGGCATGGCGGTGTCGTAACCAGACGCCCAGTACATGTCTGCGTGCTCGTCAGCCTATCGTTTGCGAGAAGAAGGATATGAAAGGGAGGAAAGGAAACAATGCAGGAGGGACGAAAAAAAAAAGAAATGGGCACGCACCTCCCACAGCATGAGGCTTCCGTCGACTGTGCCAACTGCAAGGACATCGCCGATCAGGGTCAAGCTCCTGATGCGTTCACCCAAGGTGACGGTCACCTCCTGGGTGCCACGCGCCTTGGAGTACACATGGATCTGGGACTTTTCGTTTTGAGCGGCAAACACGTGGGACGGGCTGATGGCCAAGCAATTCGTCGGAGCAGCGCTTTTTTTGTAGTTGGACTTGACAGCATAGCTCGGCGTCAGAGTGTGACAGTGAATGCCGACATCTTTTGAGATGGCCGTATTGGCGGCGATAGGGGGGCCGCAAACGGCGGAGAAGAATTCCTCAGACAGCATGACGGGGATACGTTGGTCCGAGTAGATGTCCCTTAGTGTGTTAGGCGAGGAGATGAGATCGAGACCAAGTCTGGATCTGGGTCAGGCTTCAGAGTTGCCGGAGCTGAGTGGAGGTGAAAGTGCTGTTGGATGCCGTGGCGGAATGCCACTACCACGCTATGCCCAGAGTACGATGGATCGCAACGAGGGGATAGAAGCTGACGGCGGCTGCTTCGTTCCGGACCGGTCTATTCAACGCTGAGCATGGCCCGATTTGCATAGACTGAAGGCGTTCTTGGGTGAGCCGGCTTGATGTTGAGACGACAAGCGTCGACAAGGTGGTGATGGAAAAATAGAGGTTTTTCTTTTGCAGCCGGCGCCGGCTGGCCTTGGTGCTGCGCACTATCTGCCGACGGAGGTGATGGGGGATTGGGGGTTGCAGCAGGAGCATTCGGCCAAGTGGGGCCTTCAGCCTGTGGCTTGCCTTTCAACACCACAACTGGAAGCGACCACGGCGCTGTCCTCTGTAGTGGCTGCCTGCCACGCCGCTTGGCCCAAGCTCCCTTCGCACCTGCATCGCCCTCATCCAATGCTCCAATGCAGCCATCGTCCGACAATCGACACCATCAATCGACGCTTTCTTTTGAAGGCTTGGGGTCATGGTCACACTCACCTGCAAGCACTAGCAGCACCTGGGGCCACGTCTCCCTGCGGCCAGCAGATAGATCATCTATTCCTTTTTCTTTCAAGACATCATCCATGTCGCGATCTTGCGTATTCCTAGCATGACAGCTATTGTCTTGGGTGATTCGACTACTCTGGGCCACCGCCGCCACTGTCATCTGCAGCCACTTCTGGGGGCCTTGTAGGGCTTTGTTTTCGCCTATGCCGAAGCCTCGTGGCATCTTCTCTATGCGTCTCGTTACAGGTGAAGCTGGTCAGCCGAGAGAGGGGGAGAGAGAGTCCGCAACACAGGCACCTGGATGTGAGCAGACAACCGAACGACGATGATAGTGACGACAATCCTCCGCAATTACCACCGAGACAAGCAAGCAAAGCAACTAACGTTTGCTTCATGACTCGACCAGTTACCAACGGCCTGCCGCCAGCTCCGACAACGACTCTCCCCGATAGCGTTGTGCCTGGCGTGGATCGTCTCGCTGCACCTAAACCCCTCCCCGTCTTTGCCCAAGTAACCGAGTACCCCTGTCCGCAGCCACGAATGGGGGGTTTGCATATGCTACGTCTGGGCTAATTGTCCCCGTCATCCAGCCCACCTCCGGCATGGTAATGCACGGCAGCACCCAATGGATAGGATGCGGCCGATCCGCTGAGCGATCTAGCAAAAGTATGACAGGCAATTGGGTGGATTGTCCGCAAGGGTCTTCAAAGGGGGGAGCCAAGTTCAACACCATAGACAGCCGACTCTGTCAAACCTCTGCCGCTACCCGCCGAAACCTATGCATCATTTCCAACACGACAAGGACACGAGCGCCCTACTCATCTACTTGCGAACAGCCAGTGGCGAGCAAGCGCGGCGTTCGCGTACTTCTTATGAATGTGCGACCGTGCGACCAACCGTTCGACTAGAATCGGGACGGGACGTCAGAGATACACTACTGGTCTCTCCCGAAGGTCGAGCGCTCGGCAAGCACCTCCCTTCACACTAGTGTTGGGCCACCTACCCGTAATCACCAAGCCTCTCTCCCTTTTGCCTCGCCTCTTAATTTCTTCGAGTTAGACAGCTCTCATTCAGGAAAACCACCACGGCAGCCGCATGAGGTACCCTCTCTGACATGCCGTATGGCTCCGCTCGTTCAGCGGTTTTATCCCTCTTGCCCGCCTAGCCGCTTGCCCACCGCGTCGCATGTGTCAGAGGGACCTCAACAGCCGAGTGTTACCCACGATCTGATTCCATCATTGGTGACATCCATGACATACTCCTCTTCTGCGCAGGGCACTTGCGACTGAGAATGCGCTAATCTCGACTTCTTTTGAGTTTGAAGCGGAGGGCACCAAGCTGGACTCGAGTCTTGGCTTCTTGGAGGGTCGACACCCTGATCACGGACCCTATTTTTTCTTCTTCTATTCTCTCATATCTTGATCCGAGCGTCCGCAGTTGGGGTTTTCGAAGTCAGCGCTCCATCTCCCCTGACCAGGGTGTCAGGATCACCCTTGTCTCGCCATCGGAAGCTCTCCACTTCGACCCCCTTGACCTTCGGCTCTGGTGGAGTGGCGGAGCGGCAACCCTCGAGAAACTGGAGTTGCCTTGTGTCTGTCTACGAATCTCTGTCTTGAAGGGCCACCAGGTACACACAGCATCAGCTGTGAGGATACTCTGAGTCGGCAAGGGGAGCAAGAGGACCACACCATCCACCCACCCACTCTTCTCTTGACGAGGGGGGATCATGTCTCGCCCTAGGCATCAACAGTTCTTTTTCGTCGAGTGCGTCCGAAAGAAATCCGTGTGGTATCACTGCAGACGCGGCTTTCCTTGCACAAGCTCAGTCTCGTCCCAGTCTCCCGACATTTTTGCCTCCGCTCTGCGCTCCACCGCAAGCCCGTCTTCCTCATCCCTCGTCCCCTCGTGCGCCTTCATGTTATCGTCCTCGTGGCGTAGACTTGACCCCGGCCAGCTGCCCTCCGTATAATACACAGGTCACAGCCTGTCGTCGCCAGCCCTGGCTTGCTGCTCTTTTGCTTTCACATCTCTTGTCCAGTGGCACCGTCATCAACCCATGTGGCCTGCACCCCATGTTCGCTCTAGACGTCGCAGCAAGCAGCTCCCCTGCCCAAGCCCCACGCTCGGCCGATGCCCTTGCAAATATGGCACGGCGACGAGCACTATCCTCTCCCCGATTTAAAAGAGATTCATCCCCTACCATCCCGCGCAGGCGGTCCGTCCGGAGCATGAAAAACCTCCTGCCATTGGCATTGCATACCAACTGTTACACCTTTTCGGCCCAGGCCCAACCACTCTTCTTACGTGGCGGCATGGCCCACCTCGACGTCGACGGCGAACTCAACATGGACGCTTGTAACTTTCCCGAGTTGCTAGCAAACGACCTCGAGTTCTCAAACCTGATCTTCACCGCCAAGAACCTGTCCGCCGGCGCCCCCTCCCCTGCCCTTGGATCCGATGAAGGGCAATGGCAGTCCTCGGTGGCCCTGTCCAGCGCTGCCCCGCAACAGCACTCTGCGGTACGATTCCAGTCGGCTGAACCGAAGACGGAAGAGAAGACGCAGTTCCGGGCAACGCAGCATGAACTATCAGACTCCGAATCCATCTCGAGCGGCCCTTCATTCAGCGAAGTCGAGCCTGCATCCTCAAGGCAACTGTCAGTAATTACCGCTGCCACGTCTGTCACGGGTGGTCGAAACTCTGTGGCTTCCCACAAACGCCTCTCGTCGCTTGGCCACAACACCGACGCCAGCTGGATAGACTTGGAGCCCGACGTGACTGCGGAGGACGATGGCGCGAGCATCGATGGGGTCACTGTGCCAAGGCGCCTGCGACCATCTTCAGACGTTGACGAGAGTCATCGAGGCGGCAGTCCTGTACGGGCGGCAACAGCGAACGCTGCGCTACGAGCTGCTCCGAGCCCATTTGAGAGCTTTCCTAGATCTAGCACCCGAACATGGAGCTTGCAAATGCAGGTAGTTCCATCGACCCATGCTGAGCGACGCCGTTCGCTCAATCATGTTGAGATGTCCATACCGCAGCGGAGATCTTCGCTCTATGCCGACACAACAGCCAATTTAAAGAACTTGAGCTTTCTGGCGACGCCTGACTTGTCTTGCCAAGCCTCATTCGAGGCGCCTGCCTCAGGTGTCCCTCATCAAGGTCGCGGATCGGCCGAAGCAGAGGCGACGAACCCAGCTCTTGATGACCTCAACGACGACATAGAACCGTGGTTCCGATATGTAGACCAGCAGCACGTCTCCTCCGCCGAAAGACGAAGAACAGTTCATGCCTCGAAACGGCAATCCCACACGCTGCCAACTCCACCGCTGGATGAAGTGCAATCCTGGCTCGACAGCTCACTGGACGCTTCACAGCTGGAAGAGGGCCACCGCATGCCACTGCCGCCAGATGTGGTCGAGACGTTACGGGTCTCCCTCGCTTGCTTCCCAGAAACGATGTTGCTGTGTTCGAGCCTGTCTACCGAGACCATTCGCAGCTATGCAAAGAAGGTGAAGCACCCGGCCAATGAACCAGCCAGCCTACACACTCCGCCCCCGTCACCAAAGAGGTGGAAATGGTCGAATGTCCTGGGTCAGCGACGGAGTGTCTCCTCGTTGAAACGTGATTCGCTTTCACAACGGCATTCCACGGAGCTCAACACGTGCACCGAATCTTCAGCAACGACGGCGTGTCCGTCACCACAGCCACCATGGTCACGGCTTCGCAACATTTTCCCTGATGGCTCTGATTATCTGCTGGACGCATTGTACGCCCACTTGGTCGCATATAGCTACGTATCTGGTCTGGTACCCCGCTCGAATACCAAGCACTCAAACCGCGTGGACCGAATGCCTTCGACTCCAAATCATGAGCGCCAATCGATCGAGTCTTTGAAGAGTAGGGATTCGAACTCAAATGACATTCCGAAGAAGGCGGCGCATCTTCTCGGGCTACAAGATGCTGCCACGCCACCTTCTCCCCATTCACCACAAGCCCAACGACTTCGCAAGAAGTCGAGCATTCTGGATACGCTTCGTGGCTCTCGTTTACCGCTTTCGACGCAATCGACATCCATGGATAGTCGGCCTATGAAAGAAATTCAAGTCGGGTTGGCTCGATGCATAGGCCGGCTCGTGACGACGCTGCGTGTAAGTCCTGATGAGGGTGCCGAAGACGAAACCTTACTTTTGGCGGGTGAGGATTCCAAGCTTGAGAACATCGACCCCTTGCTGGTGCGATCGTTGTGCGAAATTGTACGCTGTTGTGAGGAGACGGCATAAGCCTAGTCTTCATTCTCAACGACAGCGGTCTGGAACATCAATTCCTTCTCTTCTTCTTCTCTTTGTCTTTCTTTTGTCCTCTCTGATAGGACAGATATTATAAGGTTTGGGCGCGGATGACGGTGTTTATACCCTTGCACAAAGCCGCGAATCGCGAGCCGGAGTTTTTATGGTTGACTCTATCCCGGAGGGGTTCACCGGATCACGTCGCCGGCGGCACGGCTTGACGGACTCTGTATGATATTCATAATGAAACGTTCTAAATTGACTGGTACGATACCACTTGTGCTTTCTCTCATCTCGAGTATGCCTTATGGTCTATTATCATGGGACTTTTCCTCTAACGGCCAAGGATATTCCAACTTGACGACGTTGGCTTGGCGTGGTCCCGAAACTGTGATTCGCAATCACGGAGCACGACCGATTCAGAGAATGGTAAATTAACCCCAGGTTTCAGACTCTCGCGAAGCTCATCACGAGTCGTCACCTCGCTGCACCCTCACCCCACCAGCCCATCTTAAATCTTCAGCCCTGTCCTAAATGGAATACTAGAATGGGAAGAGTCAAGGGATGATGCCTGGCAGAGCAGCAGCGTGGCAATGTGTCGTCATTCGCGATCTGGACCGCATCAGGCGTGTGGCCTCGTCGCCTTCCCCCCCCCCCCCCCCACCACTCCGGGTGGTAGCGACCAGGATAGGGGGGGGAGGGGGGGGAGCTGTTGCTGAGTTCCGATTCCCGGTGCTTGCACATCTCCTCTTGAAATTCTCATGAGGGTCTTTTGTGCACCAAACCCTGCTGCCTGGTGCTGCACAAAACGGCCTTCCTCGACGAGGGCACAGGGAGAAGGCACACTCTCGACGTGTCAAAACAGGATTGCGATCATCCCGTCATGATTTCCCACCTCGCTCGCGATCAGCAGCCGCTGGGTCGAGGTATCAGGGAGGAAGGCCCATTGTGAATAGTTGGCAAACGCACAGACGAGGCGCAGAACGCCAGGCGGGCAGGCGGGCGGGGGGGGGATATACAGAATGCGAGCAAAGGCACAGCACTCGTGGCCCAATTCGGCCGTTGACATGGCGATCGGCTCGCTGCAGAATCGCCGCACGGGCGCGCGTGTCCATCTGTTTCCTGATCACCCCCCTTTTTTCGTTCAAGTCGAGTCCCTTCAGGGTCTGACGAAACGACGTTTTAGCCGTATAGAGAAGGCTGCTCGTCGATCATCGTCCGAGTCCCCTCTCTTCCCGAGCCCGCCTCCCGTCCACAGTCGCTGGGAAAACACAGGGGGGAAAAGGGGGGTGGGAACGGTGTGGACCGCGCGGGTTGCGGACGCACTGGTCGGGCCGCGGTGCGGGGGTCACGGACGCTTTACCGTATCTGGACCGTTCCTCCGGGCTTTTGGGGAGGGGTTGTAAGCCGGGCGTCAGACGTGCGGAGGCCGCGAGATGGGTTTCTGGAGTTCGGACGCCTGGCTCGTCGGAGGAGGCGCCGGTGCGGGATAGACAGTTGCGATATCTGTCCGACAGCGTCACGTGAACCCTTCTCTGGGGGCACATCACTGGATAGTAGCAAGGTTGTCTACGAGGTTGTAGCTCGAACATCGCTGGCCTGCCCAGATGAGTGATCGCAGTATTGGCCATACACGGCACCCATAGAAAGAGGCTAGACAAAGGCCCAGTGTCACCGAGAAACCGCTGAGATCGGGTATACGTGACCGCTCGCCATGAGCGAAGAGGAACAAGCGCCCACTTGACTCACTAAGCTAGTTGGCTTCCATGTCGACGGACTCTCTGAAGCCGTCCAAAGAATGAGCGGCATATCAATGTTAGCTTATGCTGATTGTCTTGGAGAGAACAGATGAACTGGTTTCTGAGCTATTACCTTGGAACGGGGATGTTGGTTACAACACGAACATGGCATGTCACAGCACAATTGTGCACCAAGTTAAGCTCCAGCCACGTCGTAGTTATCATTAAACAAAATTCTAGTTGCCAGTTAAAGGTCCCCTCATCCCCTCCTCGTCCGCACCTAGGGGACCATTGGCTAGTACATGAGAGACACCTCGCGTGACCACGCCGCTTAGTGGATAACAGCGGCGGTGACGTTGGCGGGGGCCTCGGGGGCCACGACACCAGCACCAGCGCCCTGGCGGCCGACCTGCAGGATGTTCTCCGCGCCAGGCGTGTTCTGAGGAAAGCGAGAGTTGAACTTGATAACATCGCGGGCGGCAATAAAGGTCTGGGGCTGGATGCTGAGCTTCTGGGTGGAGACGAGCCACTGCACACCCTCGCTGCAGGGAGGGGTGGTGAGAGAGCCGGAGTAGCTGTGTCTGTGTCAGTGTCTGTACATACGTGGAATAGAGAGAACACAACTTACGCCTGCAAGTCACCGGCTGTGAGGAGAGAAACAACTTCGGTCATGTCGATGGCACCAAGAGGAGTGACGGTACCAGGGGTGGCAATTTGACCAACAGAAGCAAGGACAGTCTCGAGAAGAGGCGAAGCCACAGCGTTGGCACGCTTAGCATGTTTGCTGCGGGCGGCCTCGCGCCTGAGCACCTTGTCGAGGCCACGTCGGGCCATGGGGGCATGGGCGACGGCGGCAGGGTCCTGAGCAATGGGGACGGCAGGAGCTGCAGGAGTCGCGGGAGCATGAGCAACAGGAGCTGCGGGAGCGTGGGCAACAGGAGCCGCGGGGGCGTGAGCAGCAGGAGCAGCCGGGGCATGGACGACGGGAGCTGCTTGGGCGGGGGCGGCCGGAGCATGAGCGGCAGGGACGGCCGGAGCATGGGCAACAGGGGCAGCAGGCTCGGCAGGGACGGCAGCCTCGGGCACGACCGGTGCGGCGGGTGCGGCCCCGGCAGCGTTGTTGTCGATTCCAATGTAGGTACCAATGACAGCGATCTGGTTGTCGGCGCTCTGGAAGACCATGTGCATCTCCATAGCCTGGCTGGTGCCATCATCGAGGTGCTCGCTGGGGAGATGGAAGTGGAACTGTTGCATGGTGTAGGCAACGCCGCCGATCTCCATCGTGCCGCCTTCAGCGACGACCTCGACGGTGGTGCCAAGGTTCTCGAAGAGAGTACCGTTGGCAATATTGGGGATCTGGAGGTTGATAGAGCTGCCGGGGATGAGCTCGAAAGTGCCCGTGGTCATGTCGATAGGTGACTGCTGGGTGCCAGTCGCGCAGAGTGCGTTGGCATTATCCAGGTTGACCCAGTTGAGAGGACCCTGTTCTCACGTGTGAGTAAGCGGTCCATTGTGAAACGGTGTGGGACGAGAGAGCATGGGTACACTTACGATATCGCCGGTGTAGCCGAAGGTGTTGATCGTCACGCCCTCCTCGGCGCGAGGCATCAAGTGGGTGCCATAGGCGCAAGAGCCCAGCACTTGCGTCACAGACGCGGCCATCACGAGGCCCGAAAAAACGTAGTGAACCATGTTGAAGAAGAAGAAGAAGAAGAAGAAGAAGAAGAAGAAGAAGAAGAAGAAGAAGAAGAAAGCTGTGGGAGCCCAGGCGAAGAAGTTAAAGGCTTGGTTATCAAGGTTGGACTTGGGAAAAGAAGGTTTTCGAGTGGAACAGAGACCGGCCCTGCTGAAAGAGTGAGATACAAAAAGTGTTCGAAAGAATAGAGACAGAAAAGAACAAACAGACGAGTGTCTGAAGAGACGGAAAAGGTGCGGACAGAGGATGTTGAGCGGGATGGGGAGCAAGATCATCGCCATGTCTCGGCGGTTGCATACATGGTTATATACCACGACTCTGGTCCGCAGACCGCTCGTGGCCTACGATCCTCTATGATCGACTTTCACAAAGCTAACAATAGAAATGATGGCTGCATGATGAGCTACCGAGCAGTAGATCCCGCCGGCCTTCCAAACATTGTGAAAAGAATCATGACAACCCCTGTGGCCCAAGTCAGGCCCACTTACAAGGGCGCTCTGTTCAGCAGGCAAGTGCAGTGTTTCGAAGCAGCAGCCAGGAGGGCGCCCAAGAGCGGAACGAGAGGACACAAGCCCAAGGTTGGCGTAGGGCGCTACGTGAGGGAGCGGTGGTGCAAGAACACCGTCAAGGACGTTCTAGGTGCCGTCCGGGGTGGATGCGCCTTCGGGATGTCGAAGAGGGTCTACCTGGGATGTGGTAGCCCGAGAGGAGACCGCCAAGACTGCCATAAAGTACTGAAACCGGGGCGACTAAGGATGAGAGATAGACTGCGTGGGGAATAAGGCCATTTTTCTTCGGACGGTCCTCTCCAGGTCAAGATTCCCAAGGCAGCACCATCTGAGCAAGACCCCCGGCATGAACCAGATTGCCGGTATAGGCCAGCGGGCGACTCATGTTGCGACGGCAGGTCTGTCCTGCGACGCGCTGAGGCCCGACACTCCAGCTATGGCGTGAAGGGGGTCAAGGGGCTCAAATGCCAAGGTCTGTGACAGCCGTCCAGTGGGTTTCTCAGAGGAAGACTCTGGTGAGGCGGCCGCCATGGCGATCCTTGATGATGGGAAACAATATCGACCACCATGAGAAAGTTCGATCGAGCTAAACAAGACATGCGGCTCTGCCATACCAAGCCGGTCAGAAGCAGCCAAGAATGTCCAAGAAAAAAGGCGTCGATGATCCCTCGTGGTTGCGATGCAGATGGTGGCCAGGCCAAGGTTGGCTTGTCCAGACACTTAGCAAGGCTTAGCGTCCGGGGGGAAAAGGCCCCCAAAACCCCAAAAGCTTTCCAAGGTGGCCCCGTTCCCGTACGTTGGGGAGCCTGGGCGGGGCTGCCCTACAGAGAAGAGAAGGAATTGCCGGGCCTGGGCCTGGGCCCTCTCTGTTCCCCTGGAGGTAGCTTGCCCCGGACGTGATGGCTGAAAGCTCTAACTGGAGTTCCGACGATGTGAAACGAGTGCTGAAGGCACGAAGGCTTGAAAGCCAGGCAAGCAGGCACACGGGGCTGGCTGCTTTGAGGCGAGCAAACCGCGAGAGTTGCCCAAGCCGGCCTACGGCAAGGAGCACGGATCAAAAGGAGGCCTGGCGCAACAGAATAGGCTGGCTGGCTTGTCGTCTCGAGTGGGAGCAGTAGGTACGGTAAGGTGGAAGACGTCGAGACGCTTGGACGGGGACCGACTGGGGGGCCGACTCGGGGGTAACCCCATGGGTAAGAAGGAAAAAACAGGTGATTTCTGCAGACCCAGAGTCAGAGATGGACCCCTATGAAACAGGGAAGACCTTCTGCTGGAGGGAATCAGCAGCTCGATGACTGGCTGGCCACCATCCGAAGCCGACCCCTGTCGAGCGCCGGCCTCTGATCCCATCCAAGCTTCAAGACGGTATCAGTCTGTGCTGTCGAGCGCATGCGACGGCGGAGCAGCATCTCCATGGCGTTGATTGGGTCGAGGAACGACAGCCTTGATCGTCCGTCTCGGTCTTGCGTGTTGACTGGAGAGCCAAGATGCCATTCCGTGATGGCATGGACGATGTGCCGCATGACAACCACGACTCCTTCGGGCTGTGGCGCGTCTGGGCCAGCGCCGCCCCGGTCGTATTGAGTCAATCTTGAGGAGGGCCGCCTGGCCTCTTGTTGACTCACGATACAATGCGGTCTTCATTGAGACAAAACATGTCATCAATAGAGAAAGACATGTTGCAGCGAAGTTCAGATGCACAGCAACCGACTGGCGGTGTATGCGGGAGCCTGTGATGGCAAGCGACGGTCGTGTTAGCCAGATAAAGTGGTGTTGTTGCTGTTGGGTGCTGGGGGAGGTCATGCGTCGGTGACGGTCTGTTGCCTGTGCTGCCCCGCCAAGATGGCGACGAAACAACCACCCTCCCCCCACTGACCCGGCCGCCCCTGCCCTTGCCTTCCTCACCTTACCTCTTTCTTTCCTCGCTTCCTCACCTTACCTCCCCCTCCCTTTCTCCTGCCTACCTTAAGTGCCTTACCTACCTTACCTTACCTTGCTTACTTCCCTACCTATAGGTACCTAGGTAGGTAAGGTAGGTAGGTAGGTACCCACTCCAGCATCTTCGGTACCGAAGGCCTGCTAGGTCGCGCATTGGCGTGTCAGTGCTTCGGTGACTCACCGTCGTCTACCCGTGACGTCCTCGGTGTATCTGTAGGTAGGTAGGTGCCTGGGTACTTAGGTCGGTTGTACAGGGACGAAATGAGGTGGGTGGCAGGCAGGCAACAGCGCCTCGTCAACATTGCCTGGAAGGATTCTGTGGAGAGAAATATCAAGATGCCACCCTCTTGATAACACAAATAGAGAGGGTCAAGAAGTCGTTCCCGGCCTTTCCCAAGGTTATCCAGCCGCTGCTGCAGATCATTTACACTTTGCGCAGACATGGTCGCCATCAAACAGATCCGAGCCTGCAATGCCCAGCTTAACGACGAGACGGTGCCCCGGACCGCCGTCTTTGTCGGTGCTACCTCTGGCATTGGGAAGGCCACGCTGCAGTCTCTGGTCAATATTGGCTCTCCCATGAGAGCGTACATAGTTGGTCGCGCATCGACCGAGTCTGCCATGAAGCCCTTTCTCGATGAACTGCGTGCCAGCAACCCCAAGGCCGACCTCATCTACGTGCCCGGCGAAGTCTCGCTCCTCGCCGAGGTGGAACGCATCAGCCTCGACATCAAGTCGCGTGAACCAACTGTTGACCTGCTGTTCCTCTCCGCCGGCTATGCCCCGCTCGGGGGGCGCATCGGTATGATGACACCTGCCTGCCTGTCTCCTTCAACCAGGAGTTGTCCCCGTCTCCCCTCAGTCAGCTAACAAGCTCCCCCCTCCTCTCCTTCAGACACGAGCGAGGGTTTCGAGGTCACCATGGCCCTGCAGTACTTTGGCCGCATCCTCATGACGCTCCATCTTCTACCCAACCTCCGCGCAGCCGCGAGCCCGCGCGTCGTCACCGTCCTCTCCGGCAACCTCCTTCACACATCCCTCAACGTGGATGACATGACCCTCGACAAGCCCGGCGCCTGGGGCGGCATCCGCTCGCAGACCCAGGTCGGCTCCCTGACGAACCTGGCACTCGATCGCCTCGCCGCCGACCCTGCCAACGCGAGCCTGTCCATCACCCACGACTGGCCCGGCGCCGTCGACACAGGCAACGCCTACCGTCACTGGAACGGCCCCAGCCTCTGGGCGCCGCTGCCCCTGACGGCGCTGCTGAAGCCCATCTACTGGATCATGGGTTACAGCCTCGACGAGACCGGACAGCGGCACCTGTACCTCGCCACGAGTGGGGACTTTGGCGGCCGGGGGCCCAAGGTTGAGAGCGTCCATGCGGAGAGCACGAGCGGTCGCCAGGGGGGAGGCCTCTACCTGCTCGACCACAGATGCGATGTCAAGTTCAAAAAGCCCGTGTTTGAGAAGCTCAGGGACTCCGCGCAGGAGCGTGCCTGGACGAGAACGATGGAGATACTGGAGCCCTTTCTGTGAAACTGAACGGCATCTTGCGGGCGCGACGAACGGAACTTGGAACGAAGACGAGTAATGACGATCAGATCATGGTCCGATCAGGACACGCAAGGAGATTAGGAACCCTTCTAGCCATGGCTTGGCGAACAGGACAGACTCAAAAGAACAAACATGATACTTCAGCAGCAACATGGTCGTGATGATTCGCACCCTTGCCTTTTACGCATGCATCCCTGCTCTTAAGAGGAGCGCGACATCGGCTAAACTTCATTACAAATATCGCACTGCCGCGTCAAGCTGCTCCTTGGAGAAGACCCGCCCGGCTCGGAACCTCTGTCGTCGGAAGATACGGTTAGCGTTCTGTTCAGTGAAGCAATCATAAAACGCATGGACGCCGGCATCGAGGCGCAGCAAATCGAAGCACGAGTCGCCCTCTGTCAAGTTCATCTACCACTCGTTTCCCCCTACCCACTGCACGTACAGCACCATCCCAACGTCTCCACGTATGATAATGGGGCTCCCTATTGTCCGTCCGCGAGCTTATCGCCAAGAAAGTTTACCAGACGGCCAAGGCCGCACTCAAACATGACAAGCCCGATAGTTCCGATCGCCGAGTCAGGAGCCGGGCACCGTCTCCGCGGGTATTCCTCTTCGGCCGTCCGATCAGGCCGGGCGTCCAAGTCAGATGGTCGCCCCGACGTACCTGCGCACTTGTTCTTGGAAGTTTCATTGTACAATATGCCCAACAAATCTCAGACCGCGGGGCGTTCCAAGGCCTGAACCCCTTACTGATTTCAAGAGGTTCTGTGCTGGTGCAAAAAGTCAGTACACCTCACTGGCAAAAGAATTTCCGAACCAGGGAATCGAACCCTGAGCCTGACGGTGAGAGCGTCAAATGTTA